CCTGGTTTTCTGGCCTGAGAGAACAGTGGTGCCATCCCCCAGTATACATAGAACACTTTCAGTCTGCAAAAGCAAAGAAAGAACTGCACTCTGAAAGAAAATCCTGTTTTGTTTACAGGTTGCTTTTATTTACAAATATACTGAGGTGTAATCTCTCTCTTTTTTTCTTTTTCTGTTTTTGCTTCAGTGTCTTTGTGTGGGTGGGTGTGTGTGCATGGAGGAAGCATAATGTTTGAGAAACTCATGCATCGTGGCTGCCAGGCCATGGTGGCAGAAAATAAAATCAGCAAAATGAAATTTAAAAACACTAATAAATAATTTAACAATGACAAGTAATTAAATAATAAAGAAAACAACAATGATCTACATACATTATGGTGGTTTTTTACCGACACAGAAGGAAAGAAGGGGGAAGCTACTGCGAAAGGCAGATGGTTACGTGTGAAAGAGCATATTCATATTTTTACAAGTTAAACAAATTGTAACAGACAACTACAAAATACTACATTTTGATAACATAAATACAGAATATATAAATATACAAGTAATACAGCCATACACAGCTAAAAAATAGGGTGTTCACTTAAAAAGAGAGTTCCCAATGCAAAATATCTGGCAGTCCCTTCACAGTCACTGCTGAACAGAACAACAGTGGCAGAACCAAGAGGACGTGGGCTGTGTCCTTTAGGGAGGCAAATGACCGCCACTTTACTGGGGAAGGCCTCAAGTGAGTGAGGCTGTGCCTAAGTCCCCCCAAAGGCAACACCTTCCGTACCTGCCCAAAGGCAAGCACGTGCCTAAGGAGCCCCCTAGTGAGACAGATTGAAACCTGAAGCCCCGGCACACTGCAGCGGGTGCAGCTGCTGTCTGCCAGTGCCACCAGGTGAGGAGAAGGGCTGGCACCTAGAGATGGACCAGCACATGCAGGAGCCCCTGCTCTCCAGGGATGTGGGAAGCGCTTTGAGCATTGGATTGTGTGCAGAGCAGCCCTGAGCACTTCATACTTGGAGTACTGTGGCTCCAGCTTCTGCAGCTTTGTTGTGCTTCAGTATACTCTCTTTCCTTTCACTTTTGCAACAAAATCTGGGACTTGTAAGAGCTCTTTCCATCTTTTTTGCTTCTGCTGTTAAATTTTAGCAATTTTTTGGGGTGGCCAGGATTACTGATTTGAAGAAGGTGCTCTCACAAACCCCAGCTTGCAGCACCCTGGGAGCATGGTGGAGAGCTGGGTTCCTGGGGTACCCGGGAGGCTTTGGATGTACCTCTGATTGCTAAGGAAGCTGGAGGGAGTCCTGAGCAGAGTGAGAAGAGGTAAGTGGGTTCACACCATCCCTGGAAGGTATGCCAGCATGAAGACCCTTCCCCATGCAATGAGGCACAGTGAAATGGCTGCCAACAGAAGAGCACTGACCTCCTTCAAGGACATGGGAGTATTCATCAGACACAGGCATGGTGGGTCTGAAGAATCCACTCAGCAGCCATCGTGAGACTGGAGCGAATCATGTGTGAGCATGGTTAGCAGTGACTGAGCCAAGTGGTCCAGGTGTTTTTAACGACAGATTTTAAAGAAGAAAATGAGATCAAAATTCTTGGGATGCTGTTTCAATCTCATTCAGTTTAACTACTGTATTTTAATTACAACTATAGTTCATGTTGTGACTGTGAAACATATCTACCACCAGTCCCTAAGCACTTAGAACACAGGCTTCATTCCATAGTACTTTGGAAAATAGTGGGCTGAGAAGAGCACTACATGGTAGGAATTGTTCCCTTGACATTCAGCCATGCAATGAAACACACTGCCACCCAGCTGAGAGCCACTTGGGTTTGGTGGCTGCACGGCTCAGAAACCATTTATGAACGTAGGAAAATCTGTGTGCTATCACTGCTTTTATGAACAGATCTGAAGACCTCTGAGGAAGATGTTATGTAGTGTATTCACTCTGATCTCACAGAGATCCTTTTTAAACATTATTGAGCAAACACCAAAACCTAATTAATCATCTTTTACTTAATTGCATCTTGTCACCACTTTACCTTAACATGTATTCCTTGCTTAGCCAAAACAACATGATTGAAACACTGTGAAGACCTCACTTGATGCATTTATATTAGAGAAAGGTTAATTTCCTAGGGAAAATGATCACTGTAAGGTGCATGTAATAAACTGCTGTCGTGACCTCTAGCCTCCAAGCTCCCATATGTGCAATCATTGTTTCTGGTTTCCGTGGAAGTGCCAGATGCTAAGAATTTTTGGCAAGGGTTTATCAACTTGACTCAGTATAAGGTATTACTGTGATATGGCCCATTAAACATTTTACTTTTACCTGATTGGTGACATTTCCCTTGCCAATAGAAGAGTAAAAGAAAAATCAAAAAGGTCAGAGGTTGCTATATAATCTTTTACTGCAGGTCCCAGGTTAAAACCACAATGATCACGCTCCAGTAGGATAATTCATTCCACAAAAAAAAAAAAGTGACATTTATTTTGTTTTAATGAACTTTGGCCTTTGCCAGATATAATGGGTCTGCTGGAAACCTTCGGCTATACATTCCTTCTCTTGACCAGCAGCACACAGTGGCATAAGAAGCATTATGTATGCCAGGCAGCTCAACTTTGTAGTGCCTGTGGCACCAGAAGTGAAGGAATATAGCTGTGACACCATCACACAACACACTTACCGAAAAGAGATGGTAGATACAGGCACACTGCAATGAAAGAGAAAGAAAGGGTGGCAAAACGCCATCTAAAGAACAACAAAGGATTATGGCTATTTTAGCTATCAAATGGGATATCTGATCCTTTTCTTGGAAATGGATTGTATTTTCAACATCCAGGACAGAAGCAGAGGTAGAGTTGGGACAAAGCAGTTCTGCAGGTCACATTATAGCTCTCATACAAGTCTCTGTTTACATTAAAAATATCATTTCAGTTCTGCCAATAATGAGGGACAATGCAAGATTTGTGTCTAGTTTATAAATCCAGTATGTTTGAAATGGTCAAGATGCTTTTCTATGACTCTAAAGGAGCACAGGAGGAGGATGGGGGAAGAAAACAACATGAATCCATTGAGATTGGTGGTTATGAATGTTTATAATGTGCCATACAAAAAGTGCTTGCCTTCTGCCCTGCAAGCAGTAAAGCTCACCTGAGTTCCTTATAAATATTTATTACCATGCAGAGAGAAAGGAAATTCTTTATTTTTATACACAAGGAAAGGGAAAGAAAGAAAATTCTTCTAATTTCAAAACATCGGGGCATTCACAGCCTTCAACTAAAAAGCCCTATCAGAAAGTGAGAGAATGGTCACCAGCAAAAGCACACAAGTGTAAAGGCCCCAACTCCTCAGAGAGACGAGATGGGCAGCTGCAGGGAGGGGAGAATCCTCCAGCACCTGCGTGGTGCCATGGGATCCTCTGGGCACCGGGAATCGTGGTATGGGTTTGGCTGCCGTGCAGCAGCAGAAGGGGTCTATCTCCAGATCTGTGCTTCACTGCTGTACTGTATGCACAAAGTCTTCACCCCCAGTGCTTGCCTCACCTCCATAGAGTGAAGCTGCATTAACTAATCTCAGAGATAAAAGTTTGCTTGCTTAATAAACCCCTAACTCACGGTCCACATTTCCATTCCAGAGAGAACCGTGAAGGTATTTGTTTCCTCAAACCTGGCCTCTGACCCTTGCCACCCACCCCTCCTGGGCACACGGAGAACTGTTCTGCACCAGGAAGAGGTGAGCGGCCGTGGCGGAGTTGCCTGGCAGGACAGCGCTGGGCGCAGTGGGTGCTCCCTGCAGGGATGCTGCCCCTCAGCCAGGACCCCAGGAGCGATCATGCTCTCGTGACCATGCTGTGACCTTTGCAGACTGCAGCTCTGCTGCACTGCCAGTCCTTGGCCCAATGTCATCCAGTACGCTGGACTTGGTTTTGTCTGTTACGGTCAATACAGTAAAGGTATTTGTTTCAGAAAGTTCTATCCTGCCAATCTTTCCCCATGAGCTCTATTTTGAACACACCCTGTAATTACTGATATTACCCTGGCAAATTTTCCCCATGAAGTTTTCTCCACTAAGAACCATGACTGTACTTGTCTGCCTCTCCACATTATAATTATCACCAGGCAATATTCATAACTATGCTATTATTATTTATGATATTTTATGCCCTACGAAAACCTATATGACATATGCTCAGACTTCAGAGTCTGAGATGATCAGACTTCAGCTGGGACATTCCCTTCAGTTCAAGCACTTCTTGCTCCTCCATTTGCACTACTACAAGATTAGCTGGAGTATTTATTATGAATACAGGAGTCCCATCGGTGTGAAACCTGCAGGCATTTGATTTGACTCCAGTTCAATACATCCAAACCTCCCATTGTGATCTCTTTCCTACTATTTTTTCTCAGTTGGTGCACATTTCAGGACTTCTGATGGCTCAGTCTAGAATAGTATACCATGGATTCTTGCTGAGGCAAGACAATTAACTAAAGGAGTGCTTAATTATTCCAGATGGACAATGGAGTATAGCACACTTATGCCTCATGCAAAACATAAATAAACAGAACAGAATGAACAACATATCTGCCAATCATAGTCTAGACTTAAAATTTGGCACTGAAATACTTAGAAACAAAGTAAATGTTTTATTCTCACACTTCAGAAAAATTAAATAAAACTCTGTCTTGTAAGCACCTTTAGTTTTAATTATTTAAGATCAATACTAATCTAAACGCCTCTGTCCCTAACATGCATCTCATCTCCAGGGTCATAGACCTTTTTTATTACAAAATCACTGGCTTTCTCCACAAATATTACTGTTAACCAGTTTCCTCAATATCATATGTATAAGGGCTATAAACTAATGAGCAGATCTAGGTTATGTAGAAAAAGTGTAGAAAGGAAACAAATGTTGAACGTCACATTTACATTAACTTCTCACAGTTCAAATGGCAATTTATCCACAACATAGTATGAATCATGCAGCAAGAAAAGGGAGGAACCTCCAGTTTCTTTGATTTATTTGTCATATGGTTGACTGATGTCAGTATCAGTGGCTTAAAAAAATTTAAACATCCAAAAGAAAGGAAGAGAGAAAGGAGGAAAAGGTCTAGCTTTCCGCAAAATCCATTTCCTTTACAACGAAGAGCTCAAACCAAACCAAAACAAAGGCTGCTGAAGAGCAGAGTCTTCTGTTCCTCTCATGCTTCTCTCTTGGTCTGGTGCAAGCTGAGAATCAAGGTTATGTGACTGGTAGATGTTTTTGTTTATATATGTATGTATGTAGGTAGGTAGGTACAGATATATGCACGTACATACATACATATATGCACACCAATACAGTCTTCCTAAAAATGCTCTTTGCAGTCCAGAGGCAGCAGGAGTCACTGTGAAGGAAGAGCTGGGCAACATATGGCTGTAGAGTCTGCACTGGAAAAAGTCACTGGCTAAATACACGCCGGCTGTTTGTTTTCGTTTATTTTCATGAGGCGAAATACGAGCTCTGCATAGAGTACAGCCTGTCAATGGGGTTTCCTACCCTAGCCTGCATGGAGTTAACTTCAGAAGAGGCAAGAAAACAGTCGCTCAAGCTAGTTAAAGAGGTATCACTGTCGATATCATGAAAAATGGAGTCGTTTCCTGCAAATGAAATGTATACATTAAGCTGTATTCTGTGCAGCCAGAGGACACAGTACACACGGATGCGATGCTTGTATATAGCACACTGCAGCAAAAGGGAATGCTTCTGGTCTTGTTTTTGCATGTTAATGCAATTTGGCTCTAAGGGTCTGACCTATGAAAAGAAAGGCTAGCAACAAATTTGCAGAGTTCAGCTGGCAGCAATATCATTTAGAAATGCGGAAGACTGCCAGTTTCTAATATATATGTCAGTCAGCAGCAAGCCTTGGCTGATGACGTGAGCAAACAGTCAGGGGAGAAGAGGGCTCCTGGTGCCCCACGAGCTGCCACTGAGCACATGTGGGGGCTCAGGGCAGGAATGCAGGACCACTGAGCCCACAGAGGGAAAAAGTGGCCTGAGCACCATAACCAGTAATGGCCTTGGTTTACACACGAGGCAAAACGCCGGCCGACAAAGCCGACCGGGCCCAGGTTTCCTGGCCTCAAATAAGCTATAGCTGTAAATATGCTTTCTTTTCAGAAAATTCCACTCTTTGTGGACTGGTTTGGAACACAGCGCCATTTATTTCCCTTAGCAACTACAAGTTCAGCTTATTTCATATTTCAAGGTACCAGAAAGAGCTCTAGCTCAAGTAATGTGAGCTTTAGGAAAGTGTTACTCTGGTTCTTTTTCCTTACACGTTCATTTAAAATGGCTTTGTCTTAATTCCTGCATTGATTTTGGAACACAGGAGTTGCCTCCAGAGGAGTTTTGCTTAGAAGTTGCCAAGCACATTGTTAGCAACAAAATCACAAGTCATCTAATGCTCATTTGCACTTCAAATATCCTACAGTATTTACCAAATTGCCTGGCGAGCACTGTGGTCTTGCCCCAGTGGAAAAAGCAGTCATACAGACCCAAGCCAGATTTCTTGTTAGTCTGTGCAATCCATGCTCATACAGTCACGTGCACGTTTAACTGCAATGAAGTGCTCCCGGTCAACACAAAAGAGTCTGATGTAAACAGGTCCTCTTTGTCTACGGCAAGGCCAATAGTCACAGTCTGAGAAATCTTCTGAAATTTTATTTAAGTGCCACACTGCAATTGTTCGGAATCAATTGTTAGGCAGCTAATATGCTTGAGAAGCATTTAGTGTACCTATTCACTTGATGTTGCATGTAAGGAAATTGTAAAAGCAAACCATCATCTTGATTTTGGACAGAGAATATAATTATGCAGGAGCAATGTCCTGTGGTGACATATCTCCCGATAGCTCAAAAACAAATCCATGCATGTGATCTGAGGGATCTTTGAGGTTTGGTTATTTATTTTTGAATAAATGGATCACTTCTCTTTATTAGACCACTTTTCAAGGCACTATCTTCCCAAAGCTTCTAGGAAAAAGGAAAAACTTGTGAGGATGGTAAGGAAAATTTGTCACTGTTTATTTTTAGTCTTGGACAGTGATTTAAAAAAGTAAAGCTGGAGAGATAATGTTGCTTATCTTTATCATTTATCAAAACTATACTCTGTAGTAGTGTCCAGAAGGTGGGAAGAGCCCTCTTCTACCCTTTTATGTGTACATGAAAATATACACACAAAACTGACCAGTAGAAATTCCTTTGTACAAATCCCAGAAAAAGACTATAACAGCAAGTAACTCCGTTGAACCTTTGGAGTGTGAACCAGCATATGAACCCTGCTATTTCTGATGCGGCAGAATGATGCATGCCTTACCATAAGGGTTCATGTGGTCGCCTGGCATTTGTGGAGGGGTCAGACCCTGCTGAAAAGGGTCTGTGCCATAACTGCTTTGATCCATTGCTACAATCTGCTGCTGTGGTGGTGCAAGTGGTGTGTAAGATGTCATCATCCCTTCCATTCGGTTAGACATTACTTCTGCAAAAGACACAGGAGGGCACAGTCACTGCTTAGCAACAGAAAGGCTGCAGATATCACTGCTGATGACATTACTGAGCATAAGAGCACTGTGGATGCATGTAGGAGTCTGTGCCATTCAGAGATGCCTTCCCAATCTTGTTTGAGAGTACAACTATTAAGTGCAAAGATCTCTGGACCATATTACCCACTTGTGGGTGCTGGCTCATATCTTCCCAAAGTCTCCTTGTAACTGCTATAGCCCTTACGTTCTCTAGTGCCTGTTCGTGCCAGCCTAATACTGCTAATGCAGAAACAGTACAGCAACTCTCTATGCTGGAGTGGATGTCATGTGGAGCAAACAATATATGTTTCCTTAACAGTAGCCCCTCATGCAGCTCATGATCCTCAAGGTCATGACCGTTTTTCTGCTCTGCGTCAGAAGAATTTGAGGCTGCAAGGCCTTGAGATGCTGCTCTTCAGCAGCAACCCTGAAGCTGCAGGACATGTCCTGGCAACTCTGCCCCGGACGTGGGGCACAGGAGGGGCTCCCTGTAACACCGCTGAGCACAGTACCCTCTCTTCATAAGAAAATAAAGCTAACTGGAAGATCTCCATTAAGTGAGCTTCCTGGAGATTTCCGCCAGTGTAAGCTCCTCTGCACTGCAGATTTCTTACAGGAAGGTACTGGCTTCTGTAAGCACCTTGTGGGTCTGAGAAGAATTTGGGATAACATACCACAGTCACTCAGACACAGCAGCTCTGTGTGCTACCACAGGTGATGGTACACACTTGTGAATACTCTGCATGGCTGTACTGAGACAGTATGTATCCATGTGGAAATGGCACTTTGAGAAAGCTTGTAGGTTCTTTCCCCCTTGCTTTGCCTCCATCACAGATCCCCTACCTTGCCCTAGTCGCTGAGAGTTTTGTTGCTCCTGCTGCTGCTGGTGCCTTCGTGCTAGTTTTTTCATCTGAGCAAAAGAGGAAGAACAGAACAATCTCATGGGTCTGAATGGAACAATTTTTTCTTCTTCCAAAATTCTCTGTAAACATCAAATCAATCAATACAGACCACTTATATTCATGCATATAACACTTTGGGTTCAGTTTCCAGTTCACATTTGCAAATAAAATTTACTCCTGGTGTTGTGCTTGTAGGACATGAACTTGATGTTCGTGTTCCTGCATGGATGTAGACAGCAAAGCATGCAAAATGTGCATAGTTCAGTCCCTTGGATCGTTGTGATATGTTCAACATCTTGGGGGTGGGGATAAGGGAGTCCCTGTTGCAGAACAATTCGTGTATTACTTTTGAGAACTTGAGAAACAACCTACCTTTGCTCTTTGGTTTTGAAACCAAACCTGGACAACCCGCACACTGAGTCCTGTTTCAGCTGCTAAAGTTTCTCTGACCTAGAGGAGGAAATGTTTAAAGCTGTATTTGTTTTTCCCCACATCTGGTAAGTCACATTCTGAGGAATATAATTGCATTTACAATAAGTACTGCATACACAGAATTATTTTTTTTAATTCCTCATATTTTTGCACAGTCTGTGCAAGCTCTGCCCTTCACATCACTACTTTCATAAAAAATAAACAAGTGTTCCGAGCAGTGTGAAATGTTACTAAATCATTTAATGATTTTTAGTTTACTAATAAACCAGTTCTGCATGAAAAATTACAGACTTAGCTATGAATTATGTTTATGCTTTTGGCAACAGGGCACACTGCACTGTCCCAGGAGACGCATTTTGTACACCTACAGGACAGTGTCATTTTTTGCAACAAATTTTGTGATACAACTCCACTTTTTTTTTTTTCTCACCAGACAAACTCAGGATTAAATAATTTTCTAGATTAGTTTTCAAAAGATTTCATTTTCATCAGCTTCATCAGGCCTTTCCTTAGCTGCTACAAATGAGATAACACCATGGTTAACTTTCTTAAAAAAACAGGACTGGAAGGACAAGTGGTAGGTCCAGGGCTGTGCACCCAACTCCCCAGAAAGTGAATCCCTCTGCGGTGGGAAGGAGGGCTTGAAGTCACTTTACCCAGGTTCTGAAAGCCCATTACTTTGTTTTACAGCACACAAATATGTTGCTCTATGGGAATCAGTCACAGAGCTGCTCTACATAATGAATAACAAAAAATGACATAGACATAGAACTGGTCCCAGGACGCTTTCTGGTTTCTGCATTCACCTCCAAGCGCCTGCTGCTGGCCCAGGAAAGGGCAGGGGCCTTTGTGACCTGATGCTCTCACCCTGTGCACTGCTGGGTGTCAGAACAGAATGTAGGTCTCTATGGAAGCACCTACCTTCCTACAGGGCTTGGAAGACACTTCAAAGGATGCTTTGAATGCTCGTCTCTGCTGTGTAGTGAGTATTGTCCTCGGTCGTTTAGGTCTCCTTGGGTCCTTCCCATCATCACTTCCTTTTCCTTGTGTTACTTGTCCTTTGGTGGGCTTAACATCTCCATCTTCATCATCACTTTTAACTGGTGAAAAATCAACAAGATATAAAACTATTTGTGTTCCACCAAGACAACGGGGTATTTGAGAACTACTCTTCAGCTACAAACTCATCAACAGGTCAACGACTGTGTTTATCTGCAGACCTACATTTACTACAGGCGGGAGGAGGCTATCTTAAATCTGTGTGTATGGCCTAAATCAAATCCCACAAAAGGAGAAGAATATTTTTCTCTACTTAATATATAATCGAGGGCATGGGACAGATCAGGGGCTGTAAATTCAGAATACAATGCGGTATCTCCATAAACTGGTTCAGGGACTCTTGGTACCCTTCTACCATCATCTGATTCCCTCTTTGCTCACCTGCTGACTCTGCTGCAACCACACTGGCTAACACACACCTTTACCTTCAAAGAATGGCTTCATCTTCTCCCTCTGCACTACTTTCAGAGAGGTGCCGCTGTCCCCAAGGCTGAGGCAGCGAAACAGTCTAAGTGCAAATATTTCCAAAGTATCTTAAAGTCTGTTTACATAAATATGGTGTAGATTCCAGAAATTGTTCTGAAAATGTTGATGCTCCGGAGATAATATTAAATAAAGTCTTTTTCCTGTCATTTCAGTATTCTTTCTCTGTTCATTACAAACTATCAATACGTGTATGCACAAATTTATTTTTCTTGGCAAAAACACAAATATGTACGTGCTTATGTAAATAGATTATTTGTATTTTCCGCTGTTAGGCTATGAATATTCTTATAGTCTAGTGATATTATGTATGCTGGTATATTGTACCATGAAATTTCATTCTCAGTGGCAAGCATTAAAGAATAAGTCTGAATTCTGATGCGAAAAACAATTTTCCAACTCAGTATATTTCATTTCAACAGACTGCCAGGGTTTTTTTTCTACCAGAAGACATTAATGTACAATTCCAGGAACCTCAGCCTTAAGAAACTCACCATCATTTTGATATATTCAGAAATTACATTTGGGGAATTAACAAATTAGACTTTTATTCATTATTGGGTCTGATTATTATGCACCTAGCAATCTAATCACCTTTTACTTTAATAAGCATCTTTTGCCTAATGATTAAAGAGAAGTTCAGTCATTTTAATAACCATGACATTATTAACTTTCCAGCAAGCCATTTCTAAGGAAAGGTTAGTGAAGATTAGTATTGCTCATTGGAGAGTTACTTTTGTGTCCAGTGGATAAATATTTGATTAGAGAAGGACACACACTCAGCCAGGGGTACAGGAGATCATTTGCTCTCACTCAGGCACTTAGGAGATTTGTGTTTTCAATGCATTTGAGAACGGGAGACAAAACATCTCATTTAATTTGTCAACTTGTTTTTCAGGTTCATGTCTGGCTAACAGAGTATAATGGAAAAAAAACAAAAAGCACCTCCAGGAGTAAGAAACTATCCCTTGTGCCAGTGGAAAATGAAATTGAAAGCAAGCCTGTTTTGTACTTCTTCGGCAGCCGACTGCCCAGTTGATCACAAAGTACAAAACCCATGAAGGAACGTGCATCCATGCCAAACACGGCCCTCTGAGGCAGGCAGCTGGCAACAGCCAACTTCCAGTCCTGGCGTGGCAAGCTCACACTCGCTGGTGGAAGGAGCAGGATCACCATGCTCAGCCTGCAGGGCTGGGCACAGCTCCGCACTGTTCTTTTCAAAGGGTTTGTCTGGATACAGACTGCAGCAGGTTGCTGAAGCTGGGATGACAGAACAACATGCTGAAGGGCAAGTAGGAAACTCAGACACCTCATGCAAATTCACAAAGAGCCCAAACCCTGTGATATTGAGATGACAGAGCAAAGCACTCATGCTCCTGCAAATACAGCAGGGCAATAAATAACAAGAAAATATCTGGTCCTGCACACCCTGCTGACACAGCAGTGACCTTTCTCTTGCTGCGTTCCCAACCAAAAATATAAATTCGAGCAATGTGATGAATATGACTTTTGGATTAGGGACAATTACAATAAGGACAATTACTGTGCCTATTTTCCCATAAACTACAGGCAAAGATCCAAGTTGTTTGTCTGCTTAATGGAATGGTGATTGTTGATTTTCTTGGACATTTTCTTGGGAAATAAAAGAGCAATTGTGATGACTGGCACCATACTGCACACACACTGTCTCTAGTCTTGGACTCAACCAGGGCACACACGCAACGAGAAGTTTCCAGTCTCAGTGAGAGCACATGGCACAGATAGGAGGAATGCTGTTCCTCCTGTTTATGCTTGAGCCTGACAGGCAGCCCTCACTGTAACTGCTGCCAGATGCTCTGGGTTTTGGACTGCAGAATCTAGACCCAGTGTGTGATCTTTTTATCATGTACAGTACTGTGCTCAGTCCCATCCAGACAGCAAGCAGCTTTGCTCACTCTTTCAAAACTTTCCCTTGGAGGTGGCTGGAGGACACCCATCAGCTATCAGCTGGGAGAGCTCCAAGGCTTTCTTTAGGAGAAGCTCTGCTTGCACAGCATGGTGACCTGCCACCCATTTTTCTGGCTCATTACTGAAAGCATATGAGCAGAAGATTCCCTGATATCGGGGCAAAAATATTTTTGGAGGAAGGAATGCCTGTGGAAAAGAGTAGGCTTAGTATGAGGTCTCAGGTAACTGAAGTCAGTCTGATTCACGTGCTGCGATCTCACAGAAACGCACAGTATTGACCCCTTAAGAAACCTCAACGTTTTTTCAACTTTACTAAGACAGCAGCAAATTAGGGAAAGGAACAAATTCAGGAAGAACAACTGGTAGCGGGGATTTTTAGCTGCGCCTGCTAAGAGTTGTAACTTGTATGGGTGACAAAAGCACGTAGAGAAAGCGGATGCGTAAACGGATATGTTTTTCTGTAAAATGCTCTGCAAGCTCTTCCAGCTTTTCCAGCTGGCACAGGAGTGGGAATGCTCACCTGAGTCGGAATCATCTGGGCTGACGGAGCTCAAGAGGTCCTTTTCTTTCTCATAGTCACTTTTACAGAGCAACTGCCCTTCCTTGAGAACAAACTCATCCCCTTTTCTCAGCTGTCGCTCACAAACGCAGCAACAGAAGCAGCTTAAGTGGTAAACGCACTCCAGGGCTCTCATCACGAATTCTGTTGGGGCAATTTTTTCCATGCAGCCACTGCACTTAGCAGCAAAAAGCCTGAAAGAAAGAGAGGCAAAGAAGTCAAAGGGAACATCAGATCCACACACTGCATGAATTTAAACACATAAAGTTCTTTAATTTAGCTACAGATCAGACTGCCTCATACTTTTGTAGATGCGGGACTTGTATTCTTAGTCTTGGAAACATCACAACATATTCAAATCTCAGACACTTTGGACTGCAGATTCCCAAACTGCCTGTGCTGGATAAAAATATAAAGATTTGTTCTCATCCCACTGCTTTGTTCCTCTTTAGGATAAGAAACATTAAGGCGCTCTCAGAGTTTGGATAAGTTCCTTCAAAATCAAACTTATTTTAATTCACTTTTTAGAGGAAAGGCTGAGCCAGACTTTTCTTTATGCAGGCATTTTGATTTCAGAATATATTTCATGACTTCACCTTTCTGGTACTGCCTGTGTCTGAGGAGGCTATAACAAATGAACACAGAAACAAGCATGGAAACGCAGTGCTGTTGCTGAGCAGATGACACACACATGCAATCACATACATGTAATTGATAAAGAGAGGAGTGAAATAATGTGGCTTTTCTTTGGACGTTGAGTTATTCCAGAATAACCTGTTTCCAAAGACAGTCCTGTGCATTTTAAATGGTGTGAAACATCCTTTGGCAGAGACAGGCAGTGATACAATCTGCTAAATTACCACTATAATCACAGGCTCTACAATATACACTATATTCCAGACTAATTCTTATTAAACCTTTATAAACCCCCTCTTTCATGCGTCATTAATTTTCTAAGATAAAGTTAGAATGATATTGATTAATTTTATTTTGCTTTTCTAATGGCAACTGGGAATCTCCTTAAGTGAGCTTTTAGGAAGGCGGCTGCTTCAAATAAAGATGAATAGCTGAGTTACATCCCTGTACCACACAGTGGATTTGGTAATTTGAAATTCAGTGGCTTTTATGGCAATACATCAAAGCGCAAGGTGCATTAATATTTACATTTTTTCAATGAAATTAACACAACTGCAGTGATGCGTTCACAAGAAAAAGGAGATTCTACATTGCATGGTGGCGTATGATGATTTTTTGTTGTTTTTTTTTTTTCGTCCTCAGAATTATCACCTTTTTTATTAAGGGCAAATATGATTAATTTTTGAAGGCGCAGGCTGTGGCACCTATTGAGCCTTCCAAAGCCTCCATTTTGTCTGAGCTGAGAAAATCCAGCAAAATGGCAGTCACTAGTTCTTCAGCAAAGCAATGAAGTCACAAAATAGGCACGAGGGAAAGGAAAATGTAAATACATTTGCATACTGCATCCAAAGAAAGGCAGACTGCCCAAGAACTTGTGTGGCTCTTACACCTGTATCTTTTGATCTGAAAAGAAATCTACTGTAGTAACTGTGCTGGTTTGTGCATGTCTTTGCACAACCAGAGATGCAGCACAACAGCTCTGTGTTGTACAAATCACAGAAGGAACACTGAGCAACTCCTTCTTGAGTACACAATGGAATAAATTTATTAAAGGAAAACTGACGGTGTGCAGGACCACCAGCCACTGCTGATGAAAGGGCCTCTTAATGTCATACTGTCTGCTGGGTCTGTCCACAACTTTACTGTTAGAGGCAAACTTCAGCAGCAAGAGGGAAATGTGATTTTACGTTCTGGCTACTAAGCATCACAAGAATATCACAGTGCTTTCGTTAGCAACTTCCTATGCAGGAAATATTTCTATCTATGCACAATAGCATATCTGAAAGGATTAAAACACAATGGGGGAAAAAAAGAGCAAACAGATTTTAAGCACTTAAAAAAGTTGTTTCTGTTTAACTGCTTAAACCTATTTGACTCAGTTTAATTAAGCTTGTATCTTTTGTCTGAGGACTGTTGCGACGATGGAGCACACTTAAAGAATCTGAAGATTAGCAAATCTGGTGTGAAGGCATCCGGCTCCCCTGACTGCCATCAGTTCATTTATACTGGTGTGACAGTTAACCTGTGCACGCTTCAGTAAAACTCAATGGCTGGCTATCAGGAGGGATGGGACAGACCCTACATGTGGTAGCTGCTCTGCTGGGCTGCAGATGTAACAGCCTGACCAGGAAACATTGCTGCATTTCTGTTTCTACAGTCTCCAGGTTCCTGACTTCATCTGAATTTCAAATCAGTGCTACTAGCCTGAGAAATCTTAGAAAGAAACTCAGGAAAGCGACTGCGATCCTGCAGGTACAGGCACTGATCTGTCTAAAACCCCTCGCAATACTGCTGCGATGATGATAAAACCCAGCATTGCAGTCGGGCTGTTAATAAAAGTAGTGCTGAAAGATCGGTGTACTTTGGAGGCTTTCACAGAAAGAGTTAATGCAGGATGTCTGCTCCACCACCCCCCTTTGTAGGCAGACCAGGGAGGCCAGGCTCTGAGAGACACTCAAAGAATACGGGCTTTATCTCTTTGAAAGAAGAACCTAGCAGAGATGGCTCCAAGGGAAATGTACATTAAGTCTTCCTAGACCAAACCATTCCTACTGCAAGCCCACTGGATCAGTACCAGCACTACGTGGGCAGCACTGCAGAACTGCTCGCCAGGGCCAGGAGAGCCCAGGCAGAAAGGAGCAGGCAGGAACTTCCCTGCTTCCCCTCTGAGTGGAGCAGTAAGGGCAGCAGCTTCCCTCAGAGGGCTGCGGGAGGCCGGACAAGAAAGGCCAATGCAGCACTTCTGCAGAGAGCGCATCAGCAGCTTGGGGCCGCTGAAGCTGAGGCTGGACTGACACTGCAAAAAATGGTGCACGACATTAGATAAGACAGCAGCTGTCTCCAGTTTTCTCCCAAGCAAGCTGCAAAATCTGCCACCGTTCAGTGGAAGTGCAAACACAAATGTAGCATTGTTTAGAAATAATTTTAAGGAGGAAAGCATACACTCCCCCTCACATTTCCTAGCTGGAACATAATAATATTCTGTTGTCTTCTTATCCTTGTGCTACAGCGTGTATTGTTTACATGACCGGTGTTTTCTATGTCATACTGCTTTACCAAGTGGCTTTTCTTCTCCCTTGTTTGCAAAATAAAAGATATACAAAGAAATGTATTATTGTCAGTGTAGTATTAAATCATTCAAATTAATGTACATTTGTCTGACAATACTGTGTTATTTTCATATGCTTAATTGTCCCTTGTCAATCTAACAACATCCCATAAACCTTACTTGGGTACTCTCTGCATTATAGCATGCACTCACCCATCTTACACTGAGTTGGATGTAATTCTGTGATTACAAAATTTTCATTACATTTATCATTTAAAATGTCTATAGATGTTTTTTAGCTTCCAGAAAGTAACCCAGGGTTATGCACTTCTCTTTTTTTTTTTTTTTTTGCACAAGGCAGTCTCACAACAGGAAACCAATCTTGACAAATGACCAGACTTTGATATCTGTGACCTAAAACACTGCTCATTAGACTGTTCATTTTATAAATGAATGGTAATAAACCTGTTGAGAAGTGTAGGATAGCAAGAATACTTTACAGATCACCCATTTGTAGGTTTTAATCAAGGCAACACATTTGATGAGGAGCATGCAGGTATCTATGCAGAGACAAACACTGTCCTACTCAACTACATTTAAAGAAATATTTCTTTTGTTTTCTATACATTTTGCCAATAATTTGCATAGCTCTGACTTTTTACCCCCACAGATGATTATCTCCAGCTCTCTTAAGTTAATGTCCAACCTCAAAATCCTTGGACTTGTTCAAGTATGCGGAGAGTGGAAATCAAATGCCTTTATTAGAAGCCCCAGGAAATCTCTGACTCCTAAGCACAACGAAAACATTCCAAAGAAAATTGTTCAAAGCAGACAAAGGAGAAAAGCAGAATAAGAAACCTTGTTTTGAATCAACGACTGCAAGAGTTTTATAAATAAATTATGTTGCATGGACTATTTTGAAAGACAACTCAATAACTTCAGAAATTTTTAAGTGTGCTTGTCTCCATGACTGAACCACTTAGGAGATTCAGCTGAGCTTAGGTTTGAAACAATGGCCTGTTTGTCCATTCAAGTATTTGTAACAATCACCAGGAAGTAAATTTACAGTACAAGATAACAAAAAATATTCACAATTTTAAACTGGGTGAATTTACTAAAATAATTTTGCATTTGTTGCAGGGCAATGAAATACTAAGACATGTGGCCCTGTCTTTAAACAGTAGAGGAAAATGTTCACCAGCGGAAGAGGCCATAAAGATTTTATTTGTTAGGATATCCCTGTGAAGTCAGGCTGAATCAGTAATCCTTAGGAACAACCACAGTTACATGATCTGTTGTGCCTTCCTGCATGGGCACAACCATCTGGTGTTTAATATGTATCACTGATTTATTATCTCTTGCACAGCTATCTTGCTGTAAGCTTGACCCTGATATGCTCCTGAGAATCACTGTTCTGATGTTTACTCTTATAATGTCCTGACAACCCACACTTTACCTTTCTATTACTCATCCAGGTTCTTCATTTCCTCCTGTTTGTGGGCAAACATATTTTAATTGTTTTATTATAACTAATTTAATCTGTGCTGAGAGATCTCAATGTGCAGTGTGAAATTTGCTGTACACATTAAGTGTGGTTCAAGAGGTTTGTTGTATAGGACTGAGGTATAAAAATAGACTCATTCAGTCAGGTTGTTTATTTACTGGACCTCTGCTGCAAAGCAGTAAATAGGGAGTTATTATCTGTTATTTGATATATGCGAGAGGACAGATGTTGCTGTCTAACTACCAGAGATGTTGAAACGTTTTCCTTTCTCCGTTATTCTGACATTATGTGTTGCAGGAAACTACAGCAGATAGCTGCATTTTCTTTATTTAATAACTCTGCAAAGATGGTGGACACAAGCTTTTGTTAATAGCGTAGGTATAGTCTGAAACTCTGATACTTTTTTTTCTGATAATAGCTGGTATATGACATCCCTATTGTGCCTATATATCCAGCTGGGAGATCACTTGGCACTCAGAGAACAAAATATGTTAGAGACAAAGTAA